ACTATCAAATTCCTCCCACTACAAGCCATTCTGCTACCCCACACCTATGTATGGATCAAGTACGATATAACATTCTAATGAGAATGTAAAGCTACAATTTAAACTATCAAGTTATCCTAATTCATGTGAACAAGGTAGGATGCATTATCACTCCATATTCAGGAGCACTTTCTAGATTTTCTTTGTCAGATTTATAAACTTACCTATAATCAAGGGTACATTTTTCTATGCTTCAGTTTTCTAAGACAAAGATGAAGAGTCACATATCTAAATACATTCTATTTATTGCAGAAATAAGTTAGTATTCACTACTATTTTAACTTGGAAGTTGTCAAGTTTACTAGTTTACTACACATAAAACATTAAAGAATCTTAAGAAAAAGGTTGCCGAGTTTTACAAGTTAAAAAGCCAATCATGTGAACAAAGTACCTTTCTATCAAATTCTCAAAGTACTTTCCAATTACAACTTCTCTCCTTTTGAAAAATCTATCCTTTTCTAAGTCATGAACAGCAACAATGCTGCCATCCTACAGGTGGAGCAAACAGGTCATGCAAGATCATAAACCAAACCAATGCAAAAATTGAGCCCAGAAGCCCAAGGTCAGTGAGCTTTCTTCTGTATTACAAACATCCTTTTCTAGAATCCTCGATTAACAGACTGATCTCTTCATATGTAAATAAAAGCTGCTAAAGTATGTGCCTTGAAACTTTTCAGGGCTTTAAGCCAAATGAAAAGGGGTAACAAGGAAACTAGACAAAACATTTTTAAATAATTCGTGGCCCTGATCTTCTTTTTATATTAGCTTTGTAGAACAGGAGGCACATGAAGCACTTGTACTATGAGTCCTTCAGCTAAGAACAGCTTGAAGAGTGATATTTTAAGTAGTCACTTCTTAGCAAGATTTCTTCTAAGAAACACTCTAAACCTTTCAAAGTGACACCAAGAGGCCAACAGTAGCTTTAAAGAAAAAAATTTAGTAAGAGCCAAGCAGCACTAACTTTACTAAAAATCAATTACTTTGAATGGAACCAATTCTATATAAATCATAAAGACTCATACATTCTTGTACATAAGTATTGTTTATCCTAATGACTCACACAGATGCACATGTGCCTAGGTGCCCATATATACAAAAAAACAAATAACTGCAACAAAAAGATACTATGCCTGGCTTAAAAGTCATGCAATTTACTTTTAGTGTTTATATGGGTAAATACTGGTTTGCCTTTTGCTTTTTTTTTTTTTTGAGGCACAGTCTCTCTCACTCTGTCGCCCAGGCTGGAGTGCAATGGCACAACCTCAGCTCAATGCAACCTCCGCCTCCTGGGTTCAAGTGATTCTCCTGCCTCAGCCTCCCAAGTAGCTGGGACTACAGGCACACACCATCACGCCCGGCTAATTTTTGTATTTTTAGTAAAGATGGGGTTTCATTATGTTGGCCAGGCTTGTCTCAAACTCCTGACCTCAGATGATCCATTCACCTCAGCTTCCCAAAGGGCTAAGATTACAGGCACGAGGCACTGCACCTGGCCAGTAAATACTGTATTTATACACATTGCCTCTCATATGTTTTATTGCTAAAAAGGAAGAACATTTAATGAAGTTAATTAGAAGGTGTGCTTTATTATTATAGAAGTGTATTTTTGGTCAGGCATGGTGGCGCATGCCTGTAATCCTACTGCTTTAGGAAGCTGAGGTGGGTGCGATTGCCTGAGCTCAGGAGTGCAAGACCAGCCTGGGAAACATGGGTGAAACCCCCTTCTCTACTAAAATACAAAAAAAAAAAAAAAAAAAAAAAACTAGCTAGGTGTAGTCCCAGCTCAGGAGGCTGAGGCAGAAGAACTGCTCAAACCCAGGAGGCAGATTGCAGTGGGCCAAGATTGCACCATTGCACTCCAGCCTGGGGTACAGAGCAAGACTCCATCTGTTTTAAAAAAAAAAGCTTATTTTCATTTTTTCGTTTGTGCTGTTCTCCCATTGCTGCAAAAAGTTATCTTCTTAATCTGTACCTATCCAAAGCCTAAACTAGAAGATGATTCCTAAGGAATATACCTCCTCCTCCATTAAAATCTAATGTGTCCTATAGATAATGATCCTTCCTTCTCTGAACTCCAACCAGACATAAAAAAAAATTTACTTTCTGTTTACATGTATATTCATTGTTTGCTCAGCTAAAGAAAGAACTTGAATACAGAAAGCTCACTCCACACTTAGTAAATGTTTTACCTCTCAATTAATTTACAAATATTGGCTTCATTTACTCTAATTAACAGCACATGCTTTGCTGCTTTGCAGTGAGAGGAAGTCAGCTAAGAATTCGATCACTTAATAGATGTGTTACCCTGGGCAAATTATTTTGTCTCTCTTGGCCTTTTTCCTTATCTGGATAATACAACTGTCCTCATAGATTCATTAATGCAATAATGCAGAAAAACCCCTTAGCATCTACCTACAGTTGATAAATAGTAGTTGTTACTGCTACTTGTGAATAGTGGAGAAAGGAAGAATGACACAGCATTACTACTGGAATATGCTGTTTTGTTATTAACATATGCCTATATCCACGCCCGAGGAGTTATATACATATACCCAAAAAAGGGCATTTCTGGAAGAAAAAATGATAAAAAAGGATTTAGCACTGTCAACTTGTCATTTAAATAAAATTTACCTTCTACTGAAATTGTTTGTTATTCAATTAAAACTAAGCACTCAGCAATTATAAACTGTTGCTCACAAAACAGTAATAGGGCATTATTCTTATTATGCATCACTAATTTTTTTTTTTTGATACGGAGTCTTGCTCTGTTGCCAGGCTGGAGTGCAGGGGCACAGTCTCAGCTCACTGCAACCTCCACCTCCCAGGTTCAACCGATTCTTCCACCTCAGCCTCCTGAGTAGCTGGGACTACAGGTGCGTGCCAAACACCTGGCTAATTTTTGTATTTTTAGTAGAGACAAGGTTTCACCATGTTGGCCAGGAGGGTCTCGATCTCTTGACCTCGTGATCCATCCGCCTCGGCCTCCCAAAGTGCTGGAATTACAGGCGTGAGCCACCGCACCCGGCCTGATTTTTTAAAAAGAAAAACAGGCCAGGCGCGGTGGCTCACGCCTGTAATCTCAGCACTTTGGGAGGCCAATGCAGAGGGATCACTTGAGCCCAAGACCAGTCTGGACAACATAGCAAGACTCTGTCTCTATTTTTATAAAAAATTCAAAAAAGAAGAAAAGCAACCTGGAATTGGAGTATACCAGGTTAGAATTATAGGACTAAGAAAGACAGTAACATAGTTTCTCTTTCTATACTTAATATCCAACATATATGTTAACTTTCTGTTCAAATTTGCTCCAAAAATTAAGTGACAAAGTCTTTTAGACTTTCTAAACCATACAGTATTTATTGATTTGCATTGTGCCAGTGACATTAGGCAGATCCAGGAAACAAGGACATCTCCCAATCATCTCCTAAAGCTCTAGGGGAAAAAAAAGACCAAAAATGCATGAACTCAAGATGACAGCACACTGCACTCCGTGGTCATAAGACTCAGAAAGTTGGAAACAAAATCTTAAAACAAAGAAAGCAAGAATCTCGGTTAAAACATCAACAACTGGCTGGACACGGTGGCTTATGCCTGTAATCCCAGCACTTTGGGAGGCCAAGGTAAATGGATCACCTGAACTCCAGAGTTCGACACCAGGCTGAACTCCTGACATGGAGAAACCCTGTCTCTACTAAAAATACAAAATTAGCTGGGCGCAGAGATGCATGCCTGTAATCCCAGCTACTTGGGAGGCTAAGGCAGGAGAATCACTTGAATCTGGGAGGCAGAGGTTGCAGTGAGCCAAGATCACGCCACTGCACTGCAGCCTGGGCAACAAGAAAGAAATTCCATCTCAATGAATCAATCAATCAATCAAAATATCAACAATTTTTAACTATTCACTGCCAAACCACAAAGGCAATCAAGGAAAATTTGCTTCAAACTCAGAAGACTAATGATCCTAATTTTGACTTCAGAACCTAGCACAGTGCCTGAGGATCAAACTTTTGCTAAATCAAAGAACAAATGTATCTAATGAATAGTATAAATGAGGACCCTAGAATAAAGTAATTCTCCCTCTTGTAAAACATTAAAATTGATATAGGAACTGTCAGATACTAAGATACACAAAAAATGAAAAGAGAAAACCTAACGTTACTTTCCAGAACAAGACCACAACAAATTTCACTTGTGAGCCTGTGTTATTTTAAGCAGTTAATTCAAACTGTATATTCTACCTCTGTCATCAATACACGCTTATTTTCACAACCAGAATAACCAGCAGTTGGCTACTCGTTAGATGTCTATACTTCCCTTCCTTCTTAGACTTATGGCAACCCTCCCTATTGATGTAATGGATAAAAGTAAATTTTGTTTCTGCAAATTTTAAACATTACAATCAAAGCAAAATTCTAATTTCTGAATTTCCTGTAAGGGATGACTGGCTCAAGGCTCTACCTTCTGTAATTCCTCCACCAAAAACCTAACAACTTCCCTTTCACAATGGAACTCTAAACAACTTCCTCAAAAAAGGCACTACTCTAAAAATAAGTTACTGACATTTTCCGATTCGCAGCCAATCTAAGACTCCCTTTGCCATTAGCAGGGCGGGGGGAAAAAGCTAGTTACTGGAAAATGAGGCAAAGGTAAGGACATTTAACACATATAAAATTAAAATACTTTTTAAACTTTTAATGCCTCAATTTATAGCTGATGTTAATATCCAATAATCTGTGCTCACATTTTGGCTACTTTTGTATTGCTTTTAAGACATTAGGTTAAGTTAACATTCTTCTTATGACACAGTTTCGGCAAAATTCTCCAGCATCCATTACTATCATGTGAATGGCAACAAGGAAAAGCAAGCACATATTTCTGGAGGATTTGGACACATTAATGAAAGACAACTCCAACCTTCCCTTAAAAACAGACCCACTTTTCTGACACAAGGGTTCACTTACCTCTCCCATCGCTCTTCCCTCCAGAGCAAGTGCTTGAAAATCATGATTCAGTTCATCCATGGAACGCACCTATTGTTTAGAATACAGAAGAGAAAACCCTCAAGTCAGCATCTTGAATTTTACATACACGTTACACACAACTGAAAATTTCTTCTATGTTTACTTTCAGACATTGGCAAGACAACAGCAATGATCAAGTGACTGAGAGATTAAACATTCACTTACTTTTAACCATCAGGGTTCAGCAATGATCCTTACTTTCTCCCCTCCTATTCCCTTTTATTTTCAAAACATGAAAAACACACAATCCAAAAAATTGAAAAAGCAAACTGGATCATGAGAGAATTATGTCAGCTATTTTTCATACATTTTAATTTAATAAGACCAACATGCTGAAGAGCAATGATGTTTTCAAGATGACTATGTGACCTAATGAGTCAAAAGATCACAGCTCCCCCCAACTGTGAATAGTTAAATTAAGGAGTGCATTTGATCCAATTTACCATTTCCTTGGTAAACCTCAGGGAAGGGGGGTGAAAACCTTATAATGACATATACCAATATTTGCCCATATTTGGAGATCCCTGGGGGCTCCCCAAATCTCATAACCAGGGGGAGAAAATAGCATTATGTCACAAGAATCCCTCCAAACTTTACCACATTGTTAAATGTAACCCTACCTACAGCATAACAATCTCCTTAGGCTTCAATTTACTTATCTATCTCCAAAGCCATTCTTACAAGGTAATAACATCAAGGATGATATCATGTGTGAAACAGATTATTCTAAACAGTCATAATTCAACTACTTTACTGGTCTTCTCTATTATGTATGACCAGCAAGCAATCTCTGCTGCCTGAGGCTAAAGCCACTAAGCATCTGGGCAAGGGATTCGAGAGTACATTCCTTTGTTTAAAACACATAGGCTCCCAGTCTAGGGAAAATGGCAAAATTCACCTCTCTACAAAAAAATATAAAGATTAGTTAGGATGGCCGGGCGCTGTGGCTCACGCCTGTAATCCCAGCACTTTGGGAAGCCAAGGCGGGTGGATCATGAGGTCAAGAGATCGAGACCACCCTGGCCAACATGGTGAAACCCTGTCTCTCCTAAAAATACAAAAATTAGCCAAGTGTTTGGCATGCGCCTGTAGTCCCAGCTACTCAGGAGGCTGAGGTGGAAGAATCGGTTGAACCCGGGAGGCGGAGGTTGCAGTGAGCCAAGACTGCACCACTGTGCTCCAGACTGGCGACAGAGCAAGACTCCATCTCAAAAAAAAAAAAATATTGTTGGGCTGTGGTGGCACACACCTGTAATCCCAGATACTCAGGAGGCTGAAATAGGAGGATCACATAAGCCCAGGAGCCAGAGGCTGCAGTGAGCTATGATGGTACTACTGAACTCCAATCTAGGTAACAGAGAGAGACCCTTTTAAAAAAAAAAAAAAGGCCAGGCCTAGTGGCTCAAGCCTGTAATCCCATCACTTCGAGAGGCTGAGGTGGCGTATCACTTGGGGTCAGAAGTTGAGACTAGCCTGGCCAATATGGTAAAACCCTGTATCTACTAAAAATACAAAAATTAACCACGCGTGGTGGTAGGTGCCTGCAACCCCAGCTACTCAGAAGGTTGAGGCAGGAGAATAGCTTGAACCCGGGAGGTGGAGGTTGCAGTGAGCTGAGATCATGCCACTGCACTCCAGACTGGGCAAGAATGAGATTCTCTCTTTAAAAAAAAAAAGACGTAGGCTTCACTTTTCTGCCTACATGGAAAACAATGTTTACTGCCTGTAGGAGTCTCTCCAACTCCTCCCTCTGATCTCCACTACCTCCCAAAGCCGGTTTACAATTTCTACTACTGGATAAATGTAATGAGGATCAAGCTAGGGCCAAGCAATGAGACAAGAGTATGGAGAACATGAGCCAGAATACAGCTGATAATCGGTTTAAGAATTTTACAGCTGGGCATGGTGGTTCACGCCTGTAATCCCAGCACTTTGGGAGGCCAAGGTGGGCGGATCACCTGAGTTCAGGAGTTTGAGACCAGCCTGGCCAACATGGAGAAACCTCATCTCTTTACCAAAAAAAAAATTATTTAAATTTATTTTAAATTTTAAAAAAAAGAATTTTACTTGAAGTAGGGCCGGGCACGGTAGCTCATGCCTGTAATCCCAGCACTTTGGAAGGCCAGAGGTGGGCAGATCAGGAAGTCAGGAGATCACGACCCTCCTAACCAACATGGTGAAACCCTGTCTCTACTAAAAATACAAAAAAATTAGCTGGGCATGGTGGCGCATGCCTGTAGTCCCAGCTACTAGGGAAGCTGAGGCAGGAGAATAGTTTGAACCCAGGAGGTGGAGACTACGGTGAGCCGAGATCATGCCACTGTACTACAGCCTGAGGGACAGTGCCAGACTCTGTCTCAAAAAAAAAAAAAAAAAAAGCGTTTGACTTGAGGTAAGATCACTAAAGCCCTAGAGTTCAAGACCAGCCTGGGCCATGTAATAGAGTACCCCATCTCTACAGACAAAAATAAAATAAAATAGTTGGGCATGGTGATGCACGCCTGTGGTCCCAGCTACTCCGGAGGCTGCAGTGGGAAGATAGCCTGCACCCGAGCAGTTGAGGCTTCAGTGAGCTGTAATCACACCACTACACTCCAGCCTGGGAGACATAGTGAGATCGTCTCCGAAAAAAAAAAAGAGAATTTCATTAACATGCTACCTAGCTGCCTATATATCGCCTAAGAATCTTAATTGTCAGAACTAACACTACACAGAAATATAGTTGCATTACGTAACCACAGCCAATACTACACTACAAATGAGACACTGTATAATTAAAATATAAGAGATTGGGAACGCTTGCTAAAAATGGAAATGTATAAAACTCAAAGTAAGAGTAAAATTCAGTTATATGCGCACAAAGAGACAGACAAGGCTTATAATATTGTGGTGTAAGTTTCAAAAAGGCCCTGAAATAGGAGCTATGATCATCTTACATGGTGTTTATATTATTTAGATAAGTATAATAAATAGCCAGCATTAACACTGACAAAGCATGTAAATCAAATGTGCAAAGCTCTGTATCTAGCCATTCCTGTGGAATCTAATTATACATTTTAAGTAGGGCTAGGCATTTCTTGGAAATCCAAAAATCTACAAATACAGTTTCAACCAGAAATACTGAAAATTCTATTTATATATCCCAAGGAAACTAAGTAGGAGGAGTAAGAAAAGGCAGAAAGTATGCGCTATGCATATTTATCACAACAATCTCACAGTAATTATTCCCATTTTAGAGATTAGGAAACTGACCTCCAAGAAATGCCTTCTCCAGCCACTGTTAAGTAGGGAAGAGCACAGCAGGAAACCAAGGCTCAGAACACTTAAATGGCACTGCCAGGATCTTAATCCAAGTCTTCCAATTTAAAGTTCAAGGTCTTTTCTGTACCACCAAGCTGCCTGCTAACAGCCAAAGGAAGTCTCCACCTCCAGTATTCTATTATTTTATTAGATAAAACTGCCTTCAGTTTTCTGCTGTGGGCTTTGATGAATGTGCTCTCTTGGTCGTACCCTTGGCTTTTCACTATCTCTTCCCCTACCTTCTAAACTTGCTCAAATCCTGCCCTTGCAGCATTTTCCATTCCTTTCTACACTATCCACTTGCCACCATTCTCTTTCACTATTTATTTACACTCTTGGGCATGTGGACTTTTTCCCTGCCTCCCCTGGCCCTCTCCTGCTCTTTTCCTCTCTATTCCACTCTTTTCCTCTCTATATTCGCCCTCCTCACCTCCCTCTTTCAGGGTATCTCCCTCTGCCTCATTTACACAAGAACCACACTCTTTCCCCATCCCTGTATACCTGCAGCCCTACCTCCTACAGTATATTGTTGAGAAGAAGGGCTCAATTTCTAAGAGTTTTGCTAGTCCAGAAACTCCATTTTAAACCATTCATCAACATTGACTACATGGGATAAACCAAGACATTCTCACACAAAAGTTTTTAACTATTTGGGAACTTATTTATTTATACTGGGAGCTGTATTTCATAGTTACTGGTACCAGGCAGACTCTCCAGACTTTCCCAAAATTCTTCCTGGGAAACAAAATACTCAGAAAAACATGCTCAAGAATCAAGAGAAATCAAAGAATGAAGGCACTGTAAGAAATATTTATAAAAAATGTTTTAGGTAAGTGAGAAGTCTTTTTCATGATAAAGGAGAAAAGCTAGCTGTCGATTACAATCAGAGTAAATGCTCCCATCAAGGTAGAATAAGCCTTCAAGTTCCTTCTACACTTTCCTTTTCTCTAGAAATCTGAGTGGCAAGTTAATGTTTTGTTTTTTTTTTGAAACTCTTACTCTGTCACCCAGGCTGGAGTGAAGTGGCGTGATCTCGGCTCACTGCAACCTTCGCCTCCAGGGTTCAAGCGATTCTCCTGCCTCAGCCTCCCCAGCAGCTGGGACTACAGGCACATGCCACCACTCCCTGCTAATTTTTTTGTATTTTTAGTACAGATGTTGGTCACATCTGTACTAGTTCACCATGTTGGTCACACTGGTCTCAAACTCCTGACCTCACATGACCCATCCACCTCAGCCTCCCAAGGTGCTGGGATTATAGGAGTAAGCCACTGCACCAGGCCCTAATTTCGAGTACTATCTACTAATTCCTTTTTCGCTTTTGCAAAATATTCCCCTGCCCCCGCCAACACCCCCTTTCAACTGATTGACCTTACCTATCTTCTCTGGTTTCACAAAACTATGTCCTACTTTTCTCTTTGGGCCACTTGCCAAAAATGTGTAACTTCCTCATCCCAACCCTGGCTTTCTCAGCTGCTGCCCCCTCCCAACAAAGGTATCTCCCACTCCCTTCACTAAAGAGGTAAAGTGAGCTGACAACTTTAGTGCCTGACCTAACTCTATATTCTGTTCTTCATCCCATCCAAGGCTATCATCCATACACACAATCTGCACTTCTCAGTTTCTTCTCATTTCCAGATCCCAGAACTTTCTTTTGTGATTCTCAACACCTGCATTCTTTTTCAAACATGGATTCTGACCTAACCAGA